GATCTGCATTAGGGCCCCGGGGTCCATCTCAGGAAGCAGTAGAGGTCAAGTCCATAGTGGAGAGCGGACAATATTGGGGTAGTTCAATGATCCCTGGGTACAATCGTAAGATCTGGTTAATGGACAAAATTCCACAAATACAAAGTAGAAGACGGTCAAGAAGGTACAGTAGTGCAACTGCGTTGAAAATGCTCGTGAAGGTGCTAAAGATTGCATGAGTTGAAAGGTATGTATTTTTAGTTTCTTGTTTGAAGTTTCTGAACATGTCAGAATGAAATACATGGGAGCACGTTGTAACTGAAAAGAAGAGAAATTATACTGCCGAATAGTTCGTAATACATGGTAGCGCGTTGTAACTGAAAAGAAGAGATTATATTGCCGAATCGTTCGTTAGGGCTAGGGACTATATGCTTGTTGTTTATATACTTATCTCGATAGAATTTCCCCTGTTTAAAATTTGCTTAATACGCCTTTGTGTACATGCTCATGTTGAACTCAAGTCATCTCGTTATCATGTTTGTGCAGGTAGCTGGTGGCACATGTGCTTGATCATAATTCGGCAACCTGATATTACGTGTCATGCTAAGTAGTATCATAAGTTATATTTAACTGCTATTATGCCGCTTAAACAACCTTTAGATGTAAACAGGTTATCATGCGACATACTAGTACAAAATTGTAAACGAGTGGCTGCATACTGTATTTTGTTATCATGCGTCCTACAAATGTAGCTGACTTTATTTTGTGAGGCTATCTCTATGTTAAAAGTTCTCTGTTAAGGCTGCGTTCGGATGGGGTTTCCAACCCCCCTCCCTCGTACTCCGCTCGCACGCTTTTGAAACTACTAAACGATGTGTTTTTTAAAAAAAAAATTCTATACGAAAGTTACTTAAAAAATCATATCGATCTTTTTTTTTAGAAAAATAGCTAATACTTAATTAATCATGTGCTAATGGATTGGCTGTATCTTGGCAATGGAATGGGATTTGTTTCAATCTATCGTCCCACCTCCCACGTCTCCGGTGCCACTGCTGGGATCTTCATCATGCAAAACTAGCCAGTGACCGTGTCCCTTAACCTCGACAGAGTTGAAGTAATTAGCTAGCCAGTAATCTCGCTGCAAAGTACTACCACGTCCGTCCCAGAATGTTAGCAGGTACAAGCGATTGATGGAGGATGTGATTAGTTGTGAAGAGAATATTGGTGGAGAAGTTATATTTTAAGATAAATCTTAAAGCTAAAAGTTGTTATATTTTAGGACGAAGGAAGTACTTTGCAGCTAGCTGGAGTAACTTCCATGGCAATGCAGCAGGGTTGGTTGATGAAGAAGCGTCAAAAGCCTCGGGTCGGAGAAAATTGACATTTAGCCACTTTCAAGGATGGGTTTCGCTGTAATGCCATTCCGCCAACTTGCTTCGCTAAAATGCCATTCCCACGCTCGCGCAACACGCTGCTTCGCCGTTTTTCCACTTTCACCGGATTAACACACAAAATCAGGAGTGTTGTGACCAATGTGCCCTTGGGTCATTCTTTAGGTCAGTGAGAGAAAGGGGATCGAGATGCGTTGGCTCTTGCTCACGGCAGTGCCCTAGATCGATCTCGTCGGCATCGCCATTCCACCCGCCGCCGCAGTGACCTGTCGCCCTCACCCAGCTGTAGCTCACGGCGGCGCTGCCATCGCCATTCCACCCGCCGCCGCCGCCGCCACCGCTGCAGTCCCAATCTCGCGCTCACCCAGCTCTAGCTCACGGCGGCGCCATTCCACTCACCCGCCGCCTCCGCCGCTGCAGCCCCCCCTCTCGCTGACGCCGAGGGCAGCCTTCGGATGCCGTCGTCCCCGACATGAGATAGGAACAAGGTGGAATCGATGGATTGTACCTCGCATGAGCTAGTCGTGGGGTAAGAAATTGCTTGTCTCCGTGCTTTGATTTGTAACCTTGATTTGTCATTTATTTTCATTGCCGACTGCTGCGAATGAGTTAGAGATTGTTGTAATAATCTTTCGAATTTTTTTCTCAGGCTCGAGGAGGAGCCTGCACTTAGTTTAGAACCCGAAATTGACCATGCTGTTGAATCCGTTTTTGTTGTTGCGCCGGATGGGGTAGTGGAGCCAGTTCCAGCTGGTGGTTTTGCCCCAGCTAGTTCCGATATTGATTGGGATAGCCTAGAGATTCTTGCTCGAGATGATGATGAAGGGAGGCTTGATATCGTTGGGGATGAAACATTCTACGAGCTATTGGGTTTGAGGGCTGAAGATCAGGCTGCAGAGGAGGCTAGACAAGCTGCTACGCAAGGTGGAGCTCCTGAGGGTGGTGCTGATGCTGGTGGTGTTGCTCCTGGTGCAGCAGCTGCTGGTGGTGTAGCTGCTGCTCGTGCTACTGATGATATAGCTGGGGCAGCAATTCCTGTGCATGATGAAGTACCAAGAGAGAGGGTCATGGCCTATGACCCTAATAAACCTTCCATGAAGGCTGGCACAGTGTACCCTAACATGAAGGAATTTAGATTGGCCATGAGACAGTATGCTATAAATGCTGAGTTTGAGTTGAAGTTGGTGAAAACTGACCCTGAGAGATACATAGGTGGTTGCAAAGTTGAAGATTGCCCATGGCATATTGTTGGGCATAAACTACCTAACCAGAAGACAGTGATGGTATTTAATTTCAGTGATTTAATTTCAGTTATGTTTGATTTATGTTTGATTCTGGCATAATAGGTGGAGAATTGATGAATTGTAATTTGCAGGTTACAGTGTTAACAGACTTGCATACATGCACTTCAAGCAGCAGGAGAAGGACTACCACAGCAACAGCTAAATGGGTGGCAAGCAAGGCAGTTCCTCTTCTGAGAAAGAATCCAGGTATGGGCCCTAAAGCCATGCAGACCCAACTAGAGGAAGATCATAAATGCACAATTAACTATGACACTGTGTTTAGAGGTAGAGAAAAGGCTATGGTTGAGCTATATGGGACCTGTGAAGAAAGTTTTCATATGCTTTATAGATGGAGAGCAGAGGTTCTAAGAACTTCACCAGGGAGTGTGATAGAGATAGATACTGTGGAGGTTGGTGGGAAAGTGTATTTTCATAGGTTTTTCTGTGCTTTGAGGCCCTGCATAGATGGTTTCCTAGAGGGATGTAGGCCATACATTAGTATAGATTCCACTGCTTTGAATGGAAGATGGAATGGACACTTGGCTGCTGCCACTTCTGTTGATGGGCACCACTGGATGTATCCACTAGCTTTTGGGTTCATTAATGCTGAAACAGAGGATAACTAGGAGTGGTTTATGAGACAACTACATAAGGCTATAGGAGATGTGAATCCACTAGCTATTTGTACTGATGCATGTAAAGGCTTAGAAAAGGCTGTACATACTGTATTTGAGCATGCTGAGCAGAGAGAATGCTTCTGGCATTTGATGAAGAACTTTGTGAAGAGATTTGGTGGTGATGTGCACTCACACATGTACCCAGCAGCAAGGGCATACAGGGTAGAGATTTGGCAAAGGCACATGAAAGAAGTTATTCAAGCTTGCAGTGATGTGCTTCCTTGGCTTGAAACCTATCATCCATTGAAGTGGATGAGGAGTGGTTTCAATCCAGCAATAAAGTGTGATTACATTACTAACAATCTTGCAGAGAGTTTCAACAATTGGATCAAGGATTACAAGGCATCAAAAGTTGGTAAGGGGGTGGGAAGTCTAAAACCAAAACTGTTTCAACTGACAATGATCCAGGGAAGAGGGTGTTGGTAAGGGGGAAGAGAAGGTGCAAGGGATGTGGTGAATTTGGCCATGTTCAAACAAGCTACAAGTGTTCTCTTAATGGAACCAAAAAAAGGCAAGTCTGCTTGACCCATAATACTGTTTTAAAAAATACCTCATGCCAACTTAATGCATGACTATTTCTTGTATTTTGCAGGAAGAGGAAGCCAAGGAGGAACACTACCAAATATGGGAATACTTCAGAAATTCCTAGTCCCAAAAGACCAGCTGTGCAGACAATACTGGAAGAAAGCCCAGGAAGAATCACAAGAAGGTAATCATGTAAAACCATCACAACAATTTGGAATTGAGGCATTTACTAACTTATTGAACAACCAATGCTTACAGCCGACTATCAACATTGATGGAAGGAGGAGCAAAAAACATTGCAGCTTCCAGTTCCCAGCCTGCTCATATTGGAGCTTCAACTTCTGAGCCTGATCAAGCTCAAGCTTCTATTTCCCAGCCTGCTAGCTTTGCTGGACCAAGCTGGCAGCCCAGAAGATCTCCCAGGAAGAAGATGACACCAAAGAAAAGGCCCAGAACTTGAACTTCCTGGTTATATGTTGGAATTAGCCAAGTGTTGGCGGTAGATCATTTTGCTCCATGTGTGGAGTCCAATATATTATGTCTGGACCTATGTGCTATGTAGTTCTATGGTGGAATTAGCCAAACATTTGCTGGCAGTAGATCATTTTGCTCCATGTGGCTCATTTTGCTATCCTACCATGTGTTATCTGAAATTGTGATGTGAACATGCCCTGCTATCCTGCCATGTGTTATATGAAATTGTGATGTGAACTTGCCCTGTTATCCTGCCTGCACAAATTATGATATTTGTCTTCAAATTCGGTGAGCTGTGTCCCCTTCTAAATACAACATGCTAATTTTCCTTTTCAAAAGCACTACATTGCAAACTATACCTTCTCTGAAAATGTGTGATGTGATTATGTACTGTCTGAAACTACCATGTAATTCTTGAAGTTGGGACAGTTTAATATCCATTCCAGATTGACATTGCATAATATTGTAAAATACAACATGCCAGATTTTTTTCTCACAACAACATGACACCATTCATTACCATTTCAGCAAGCAGCATAGGCAAAAGTTGCCATTCATACATTCCTGAATACATTATAGTAATTCACTTCAAAATCATCACAAACACGCCAATAAAACCTAGAACTAGCAGGCCGATGTTGATCATCACCAATACTTCAATCAAATTTATCAGCTTATCAATCTTTCCATCATCAACTGAACTCCGCTTCATCTCTATAGAACCATCAACCAGTGCAACATCACTTGGACCTTCATCAACAACATGCTCACTCATTCCTTCAACCATCTTCCTATAACTTTCGATCCACTTGAAAAACTTGCAACAATTTGGCACCTATACATACATCAGTACAAAATTAGCCCCAACAACCAAAAGCAAGCAAATGCAACGAATTCAACCACTCACATCTTGTTCGTTTTCCTCGCATTTGAAGAAAACCTTTCCACCATGCCTCATCGATCTGCACTCTACTACTGCAGCGCCACACCTAGGGCAACGAATGAGAGGAAGGTCGCTAGATCCTACGGGTAGCCGAGCAGGAAAGGAGCAACCTTGCGACATCCCGAAATCCTCGCTTCCAGCTGCATACCTTCGCTGCATAGCCCCCCTAGGGTTAGGGTTTCCTCTCATCTCCGCAAATCAGCGCCGGCGAAAGTGGCACAGCGGCGGCGGAGCAAAGCGGCATAGCGGCGGCAGCAGATAAGAGCGGCACGGCGGCGACGGCGGAGTAGAGCGGCAGCGTTGCGGCGGAGTAGAGTGGCGGCGGCGGAGCAAAGCGGCACGACGGAGTAGAGCGGCAGCGTGGCGGCGCTTGCTGCTTCATTTGGCACAAAAGGACCCCTAGGGGCAATTTGGTCAGCAGACAACTCACTTACGGGATTAATCCGGTGAAATTGGAAAAACGGCGAAGCAGCGTGTTGCGCGAGCGTGGGAATGGCATTTTAGCGAAGCAAGTTGGCGGAATGGCATTACAGTGAAACCCATCCTTGAAAGTGGCTAAATGTCAATTTTCTCCGACCCGAGGCTTTTGACGCTTCTTCATCAACCAACCCTGCTGCATTGCCATGGAAGTTACTCCAGCTAGCTGCAAAGTACTTCCTTCGTCCTAAAATATAACAACTTTTAGCTTTAAGATTTATCTTAAAATATAACTTCTCCACCAATATTCTCTTCACAACTAATCACATCCTCCATCAATCGCTTGTACCTGCTAACATTCTGGGACGAACGTGGTAGTACTTTGTAGCGAGATTACTGGCTAGCTAATTACTTCAACTCTGTCGAGGTTAGGGGACACGGTCACTGGCTAGTTTTGCATGATGAAGATCCCAGCAGTGGCACCGGAGACGTGGGAGGTGGGACGACAGATTGAAACAAATCCCATTCCATTGCCAAGATACAGCCAATCCATTAGCACATGATTAATTAAGTATTAGCTATTTTTCTTTAAAAAAAAGATCGATATGATTTTTTAAGTAACTTTCGTATAGAATTTTTTTTAAAAAAAACACATCGTTTAGTAGTTTCAAAAGCGTGCGAGCGGAGTACGAGGGAGGGGGGTTGGAAACCCCATCCGAACGCAGCCTTAACAGAGAACTTTTAACATAGAGATAGCCTCACAAAATACAGTCAGCTACATTTGTAGGACGCATGATAACAAAATACAGTATGCAGCCACTCGTTTACAATTTTGTACTAGTATGTCGCATGATAACCTGTTTACATCTAAAGGTTGTTTAAGCAGCATAATAGCAGTTAAATATAACTTATGATACTACTTAGCATGACACGTAATATCAGGTTGCCGAATTATGATCAAGCACACGTGCCACTAGCTACCTGCATAAACATGATAACGAGATGACTTTAGTTCAACATGAGCATGTACACAAAGGCGTATTAAGCAAATTTTAAACAGGGGAAATTCTATCGAGATAAGTATATAAACAACAAGCATATAGTCCCTAGCCCTAACGAACGATTTGGCAGTATAATCTCTTCTTTTCAGTTACAACGCGCTACCATGTATTATGAACTATTCGGCAGTATAATTTCTCTTCTTTTCAGTTACAACGTGCTCCCATGTATTTCATTCTGACATGTTCAGAAACTTCAAACAAGAAACTAAAAATACATACCTTTCAACTCATGCAATCTTTAGCACCTTCACGAGCATTTTCAACGCAGTTGCACTACTGTACCTTCTTGACCGTCTTCTACTTTGTATTTGTGGAATTTTGTCCATTAACCAGATCTTACGATTGGACCCAGGGATCATTGAACTACCCCAATATTGTCCGCTCTCCACTATGGACTTGACCTCTACTGCTTCCTGAGATGGACCCCGAGGCCCTAATGCAGATCTCCAGTAGGGGAGAAAACTTCTCCTTGTGTATGTTGGATCCCATCCTATAAGTGCTCCCTTTCTCACAGCTTGTATTAATAGTTTGAGAAAGATTTTACACGTGTGAAGACCCAAAACATTCACAATTCAGCATGATCTACCAGAGAGCATTTAATTTATTTTCATTTTGCATGGAAGATGTGAACATATCCTATGCACACAAGCTTGTGTACACAACATGCACACCAACTAACAAAGTTCACTAAAAATTCTACATGTACTTCCAATAGTATTACACTTATGTGTAAAGTATTAACCTAAAAATTCTGACAATTTTAAGAGTATAAATATGTCAGAATTGTCCTTTTTTGCTCCCTATATATATAATGAATTTGAAGATGATACTTTACACAGATATAGTACTACTAAAAGTACATGTACAAATTTGTATACAATTTTTGGTAATATTTTTTTAGGGAAGTTTTTGGTATTTTTAGTTGGTGTGCATGGTGTGTACACGAGAAGACAGCTAAACCATAATTTATTGGTGATGTGTTCCCAAGTACCTTACTTAAGCAACATGACAAGGCAAGTAAATCAGTAAGTTGCATGGAAGGTACTCTTTGGAAGTTAAGTGTGCTGTTTTTTTTCCCTGGTTTGACGTCTATGTACTGTCAACTACAGCAGGTTCTATGATTCGAATGAAGCAGAACTACCGAAACCTGTGTGCCTGAATCAATCAGAAGATGCTCCTGGCACTGTCCTAGCTTTCAAAGGGCCAGTTGCTGCTATTGGTTCACCAAGCAAGGTGATTTGATTATCTTTCTATTTTACCAGATGAGAATAATGTTAAAATTTCCTTCCTTGTGCTATGCTATGTTGTATAGATACACTGTTGTTTTGATATAGTATTTTGGTTTAAGTGACTTGAGTGTAAGTTAATCAACAGCTTAGCTTAAATGCCATATATTGTATTTTGATTTGAGAAGCATGCTAATACATTCATAAGCATACCTTGGAAATGTGTCTTATGGATTATTTGTTGCATATTAAGGGTCCATGGATTATCCAGACTATTTAGACTAATTCTGTTCTATATATATATATATATATATATATATATATATATATATATATATATATATATATATATATATATATATATATATTAGGTGGGTTTTTATCATAAAAAGATAGGGGCTTGGAGACCATTTCAGTACAGACAGACTTCATATTGGAATCCTTTCTTAGCAAGACATTACTGCTCTCACAGTGATAATGCAAAACAGCTCTATGATATCAGTTCTCTGGAAGTTGTAGATGATGATGTCGAAAAATTTTTGTCTGACTTGAATCTTGCGATGGCTGATATGAAGAAAGAAAGAGATGCTTTGGCAAAAAAGGAGGCACTTGAGGAGGAGGAAGATATTCAATCCATGAAGGATGAATATATTCGGGATATCGTCCCCGTCTTGTGGCGGCATGTCTCGTTATGCCATGCCCTTTGAATAGTGATTACGCTGCATACACGCATGGCCCGACACATAGCATTCTTAAACGCATGCCTGTGTATCTTTCTGCTTTGGACCTGATGAACAGCAAAAGAGAGATGACTAGGTACCGGTGGGAATGTTTATTGGCTCACATTCTCAAGAAAAGGATTATCATTGCTGATGATTGGGAGAATTCTTACGGGAAGATAAAAATCCTCTTTCATGAATTCATTATGGAAGATTATGATGATGGCAAGCCGATTTTCATGGGCGTATGTGATGGCCAGTTTATCCAGTTATTCAAGGCAGATGGAACTCCCGAAGAGTTTGGCCTTGCTACCCTGGCTTATATACTGTGGAAGAGGAACATTTTGATTGCAGCCAGAGTACTGAAAGGGGTGCTATGCCCTAACAATAACGTTGCTGAAAGTCTTGCCTGCTCTGCATTGATGCAAGATTGCCTCTTGAGGGAGGATGTGGATCATCTGTCCATATTAACAGATAGTGGTGCAGTTCACCGTGCGATAAGTGGAGAACCTGTTTCGGAACATGGTCCCAACAGTGATGAATATGCTCTCTTGAAATTCCTTGCCTCCAAGTTTAAAACATGCACCTCAACTCAGCAGCCTAGGGAGGTTATCTTTCCTGTAGATCAGCTGATAAGGGAAATGGAGGAAAGTACTAATGTAAGAGACACATTGGAGAAAGTTTTGGCTAAATTTGCCCCCCACTTTGGCGGACAACCACTATTTAGATTGAGCCAGAACTCAAGTGCCAAAGATATCATCAACAGCTTAGGTACATTACTGAGTTTCTTCCCTCTCTTGTTAACATATTGTTGTAGCTGCCTTGACATCCCCCGTCCTACCCCACAAAGCTCAAGAGAAATCATACATTCATGTTGATGAAAATTTTAAACTTCAAGCCTATATACATATTACAAATGATCTTTTCCCCTTGAAGGTGGTATTGGTCTTTGATAGCTTTGAAAAAAAGCCATTGTCATTTCAGAATGAAGTGAACAAGTTATTACCCAGAGGTACAGTTAAGCTTGTTGAAGGCGAATGCACAACCTTTACTATATGTAGGGTATCTTTTTTGGGGGTATGTGCTAATGCCATGTTCTTCTCAGATTGAATTATTGCATGTACGCTTCTAGGCTGCGAAACAGTGTAATTATTTTTAAAATGAACTTTCTATATAGACGAAGTTTTAAAAAAAATCAAATAAATGCATTTCTTCAAGTTTATAATAGTTGATACTTAAATTAATTATTATGCGCTACCTATAGTACTACTCCCGCAAACCGCCCTCTGATCAGCCAAACCACAACTCTAATTATAAACGGATAATTAGAACCTCTAAACGGGGGCACAGGAACATCAAATCAAATGCACAGCCAAAAATTATAAAGTCTACTCCCAGTAGTATCCTGTACCATCGCCCTAATAAGAAATTTATAAGTCTGTATTATCCTGTACCATCAATTTACTACTTCTAGTATCATACAATAGGCAAGGTACTCCTACTATGTAGGAGTAGTAGTAGAGTATTATTATTGTTTCTGTGGTAAACAATGGATCTATCAATCAATCGGGCAGTCAAATCTACTCCTATTCGCAGTCAAATCGGCAAGCAGCATCATTACGGTGCAGAAACGGAAGGCGGAGACGGAAGACGGCGGGGTGCAGATCCGGTGACCCGGCGGCATACGGGTCCCTGGAGCACCTCTCTGCATCCCTACCTGCACCACACGCGGTCAAATCGCTAGCGATTACACAGAAATTGATAAAGTAGTGCAAGATATAACCAACAAAAAGTATACTCCTCCTCACCGTACCTCCTTATCTCTCTTTTGCAGAGAGGTTTTCCACATATAGTTCACCTTCCCTCTGCAAATTTCCCGCTCCATCAGATTCCTTCTCCTCAAACCACACACACGCCCTGCCGCAAAGAGAGAGAGACGCATAGGAGTATTTGACTCCTCAGATCAGATCTGATCCCTTCGGATGTGAAATCCCATCCCTACCCTGCAACCCTACCTCCATGCGAATTCCCTATTGTACTCCCACCTGGCCTCCTGGGCTTCCAATCCGTGGGCCTGCCTGTTTCAGCTTTGGAGTGTTAAATTTATGGAATAAGTTCACTTTTACTCCCTTAAAAAGTGGCCCGAATCTAATCCATGACCCTAAACCGCAAAATTGGATATCTTCACCCCCAAACTATTGAAACCGGTGCAATTTTACTCCCTTGGTGGTTTTGGAGGGCAGTTACACTGACGTGGCAGTGTTGACCTAGTCTGTGTGCTGACGTGGCGCTGATGTGACATTTCAATTAAAAACATATATGTGGGACCCATTTCTCATTCGCACACACAAAATTGTGGGGGCCCAATGACGTGTGGGCCCCACATGTCATCTCTTCCCTTTCTTCTTCCTCCCGGACCTCCCCTCCTCCTCCCTTCTCTCTTTCTGTTCTCCCTCTCTCCTTCGGCCGTCTGCAAGGAGCGAGAGGCGGCGGGCGGGGTCTGAAGTGATGGCGGCCGGCGGGAGCTGACGCGGGAGCTAGCTGGAGCAGCGGCAACGGTGGGCTGGAACTGGCAGCGGCGGGTGTGGGCCGGATTGGTGGCGGTCGGCGAGAGCTGAAGCGACGGCGGGCTGGAGCTGACGCGAGAGAGGACGGTAGCGCCGACGCCGACGAGATCGAGCGGGGGGGGACGGTGGTCTACAGGCTACGGCTTCGGATCCATCCGCATCGCGGGGATCAGAGCTCCTCGTCGCCGTCCTCCACCACCTCCCCGCATCCATCCTCGCATCGCCGTCGCGAGGAGGTGAGACCTCGTAGTCCAGTGCCTCCTCCTTCTCCTCCATCCCTTCACGCACGTCAGCTCCAGTGCGGGAGGGTGCGAGACGTCGACGACGGCGGCGGGCGCGGGATGTCGATGGCGGAGGCATCGAGCGGGTTGAGCGGCGTGCGAGCGAGCGCGAGTGCGGGAGGAGGCACCGACGGCGGCGACAACACGAGCTCGGTGGCTCCGCCTCTCCCCTCTCCCTTCCGGCCCTCACGCGCCGCCGTCGCCTCTCGTGTAACCCACCACCTCCGTTCCTCCCTCACCTGCTATCCTCTCCTCTCCTCTCTCCACTTGGCGAGGCCGATGGTGAGGCCGCCGCCGCTGCTCTGGCCCCGCCCGCCGCCGCTCCAGCTCTAGCCGCCCGTGCTCCCCGCGGTCGGCCGAAGGGGAGAGGAGAAAGAAAAAGAAAGAGAGAAGGGAAGAAGAAGAAGAAAGGGAGAGAGAGGATGGCATGTGGGGCCCACATGTCAGTGGGCCCCACAATTTTTTATTTTGTGTGTGAATGACTAATGGGTCCCACGCATATTTTTTATTTCTAATGCCACCTAAGCGCCACGTCAACGCCACGTGGAAAGAAGACCGAGTCAATATTACCACGTAGGCGCCACGTCAGCGAAACCGTCCTCAAAAAACCACCTAGGGAGTCAAATTGTATCGGTTTTAAGAGTTTGAAAGTCGAGATATCCGATTTTGTGGTTTTGGGTAATGGATTATATTTCGATCACTTTTGAGAGTTCCTTGAATTTATAGGGGGCTTATAGAATACGCGCAGACGCTAGCTGAACTCGTCTGCCGTGGCCTGCGTGCTCCCCTAACGTGCGGCGTGGAGCCCACCAAAACTAACGCTAATCACGTTTAACAATAACTAGAAAATATGCGCGCTGTTTGGCGCGCTTAATATCAAACCCGTTGGTTCATATGGGTGTGTTTGGGACTCACCATCCGCGCATATAAAACGGAACGACGTATTTTCTTTTCATTAATGAAGTATTTAATATTTTTTAAAAAAATAAATTAATATAATTTTTTTCAAGCAACTTTCGTATATTTTTTTTAAAAAACGTGCCGTTTAGTAGTTTGAAAAGCGTACGTGTAAAAAATGAGGGTGTGTTAACAGTGAAATTTAGTAAGCCTGGAGTAATTATCGGCTTCGAAGTTCTAAGATTAGCTGATGTAAGCCTGGAGTAATTATCGGCTTCGAAGTTCTGAGATTAGCTGATGAGAGTTATCAAATTGTCAGTTGTCGGATTCTTACTATATTCGGTTAAGGAAATTGATCTACTAAATGAAGCTTATCCAGAAGAGACCGAGTTCAAAGAGAATGCGGCATGGCAAGTTATCTATTAATAAGGAATAGTTTGTTAGTTTACTTTTATCTTTAGGAAAGTGTGTTCAGTGTCCTATAAGGTCTTTATCTTTTCCTTTTATCTTTAGTTTCTTTCTTATCGGATAAGGACTAGTATCTTCCTATGGGTATAAATATGTACATCCGGGGTCATTGTAATCTATCAATCTCTCGACCAATACAACTACTCTTGGCGCATCGCCGCTGTCAGGGTTATGGATACCACATACTTAATAGTAGTTGACTAAATCTCGACAAGACCCACCACATACTATGTCTTATACGGAAACAACCTTCGGATATATGAGGAGTTCCGGATAAGAAAAGACAACTAGAGTTCTACATGGAAACGACAAGAACTACTCGGATATATATATATATATGAGGTTTTTTTATAATACCCACAATTATTTGACCGTTTAAAAAGTGTGTTCACGGTAAATGAGAGAGTTGCAAAAGCGAAACGAGGTTTCAAACACAGCCTAGGCAACTGATTAATTAATAGATTTTTTTGCAAATAGGAACTTTAATCATGCATGGCCAAATGGACAGACTTTATATGTGGCAAGCACTTTGCGATCTGCTACCTGGAAAAAAATGAGAAAAAAAGAAGAGAAAACTATGGTCTCGTTACGGAAGATTAGTAGGGCTAAGAATGCGAGATACATTATCTATGTTTAGAGTATAACCTTGCATAGGTGCATATAGACTAAAAGAAAGAAAAGGGAAATAATTGGGGCTTGAAAAGTCGAAATGGAGACACCCAGCAACATAACAGCAAGAACAAAGCTATCCAACAATGTCACTCTTTCATAATATTGTTTCTGGACTCCACAGAGCACGTCAGCTTCAAATAGGGAATGGACTCTAATGCCCTGATATTTATATTTGCTTTTCATATTGGCATTTACTGTTAGATCCCTTCATCGCATTATCATCTGTTGGCAGGATGTACATCATGAAACTGTTGGATTGTATCTCCACGATTAGTATTACACACATACGGTTTCAGCATCATCTTCATCAACTGCTGGTGCGTTAAACCTGGAAACCAAGACACAATTTTTTGCATTTTGGTACATGAGAATCTGTCAAAACTCTATGCGAAAATATTCTGGGATTCACCCTTGAGCATTCAAATAAATTTATCAGGAATTGCCAAAACTGCTATTGCAGATGAATATTCTAGCATTTCATCTGCATGCATGACATAGCGGCAATAATTAAAAAAAACATGAATTGAACAGAGATGGAGAAAAGATTCTAATGTCTTCTCAAGCACAAAACTTATGTAACAAACTTAGTCAGCTGGAAAAAGTGAATTCATTCGTAGGAGTACAGCACATGACAATGTACCATTTCTACCATGACAGGCCTGATCTCCTGCTGCCTTCTATTGAGTTCTCTCAGGTAACTCGGTCACAAATTGGAGATCTACAAGCACGCACGCTGGGCTGCTATGTCACCCACAGAACCTGTTTGATAAACTGAGATTGCCAAGATCAGTGGAGACAAACCCAGAGGATGGCACACCATGAAGCAGATTGTATTTGGTGGAAGGCTGACCGCTAAAGAGGACATTTAGGTCCATTGAATAGTCATTTGAAAATGATTATGGCTTCCCCCCCATCTTTCCCTGATTGCTTGCAGAATTCATTACCATTCAAAATTTCAAACCTGATGTTAGTATGTGACTTGTATTTGTATAGTTCCCATTCAGTTCAAGGTAAAAATTGTATTACCAAGGTTTTTCCCTATTATCCATTACTGCATAATAGCTTCCAAATAGTCGCAGTTTATTTAGTAAGAATCAATTAGTATAATCAAGCTTATGTTGGACTAAAAAAAGAGGAAGTAAATATCCCATTAAATTTTATTTCCGTTAGTTTAATGAGTATCAAGAACAAGATAATCCTAAGAAACTAAAAGTTTAAGAAGTAAATGGATAACGATTTTAGTGATGCTATGCTGGCCGGTAATTAGTGGAGCACAAGTGCACAACAGACAGAAGATATTGAAGGGAATGATTGAACTAAAGAAAGAAAAAGATAACCTTCTATAAACAAACCTCCCTAATTACTTCTGATATTTCATTTTCCATGCTATGGAATGACCATTTTTACTGTAAAGAGGATATGTCAAATCAAATATGCTAGTCGGAGAACAACATGCTCTGATGAACAGAGGAGCTTAACCTTACCTCGTGGGTAGATTTAGGTTACTCTGGAATAATTTAATCCTCAAAGGTGCTTCTAGAAAATTCTAGATACCTAAACAGTCTTTAACACTCTGTTCAAATTTATCGATGGCAGAGACGGTGCTCAGCAAGCCATCCTTCATCTTCTCCCTGCAGGATAGTTGAGTTGATAAGCGTCATGCATTTCCTAGCTTCGCAAATATTCTGAATAAATGCAACAAAGAATCACATGTAATCGGCATCGTAAAACTCATTTTACTGGGAAATGTAAAGAAATAAGCAGTTGAGCACACTATCATTTCCATTGAATTCCTCCATCGCACTAAGAATAAGATTACAAAAACCAGTTCATGGGAACATGAAAGATGTTCCAAACTGAAAGGAAATGAGATAATGCAGTCCAAGGAATCATGTAACTTGGTTCCTAGTTACCACCTAGAATGACATAAGACCTACCTTAAATTTTCTCCGGACCGAAGACCTACCTTAATTGTTTAAAGAGAGGCCTTTGGCACAGCGAAAAATTAAGGTATTATGTCATTGTTGCCCATGGATGAGTTATTGAATATACCATAGCCAGATGATAAAAATAGATGGCTGCACTGCAGAACTCAAATAGCAACATTTCTGATTACACCATATATATGAAACGTCAATCTATTCTACGGTTAAGAGCCAAGTGTATTCGAGCTGGTAACATGGGAAAAACTGATATAGATGATGTGGAGATAGTACCCACCTATCAGCAGTGAGCTCAATGTTACTGTTATCCACCACAGTTCCCAGGTCAGAGAATGACCTGTACAAAGCAATTTGTAAGTGATTAGAAGTTTACCCAACACAATATAAATTACAAAGCAATTTGGTAAGTTTCTTTGTTTCTGTAACGGGAGTGTTAAACCTACTGTATTAGCTCGGCAAGCCTAGCATCAGCTTCAACCTTGAGAGGGTCCTTATCCGTGAGCAGCGACGCGGCATTCTTCAGTATCAAGCTGAATGTGCAGACCTGAAGCGTAATTCCATCAAACACCTGGTGTACCAAGAAAGAAAAGCAAACCAAACCATGGATATTGTGAGCGCCTCCCAAACCTCAACGCCGCTCCGCGACTGCAGCGAGACGAGTGAGTTCCTCTGCCGCGGCACACAGTCTCGCCCCGCCGCGGCGAGCATCCGCCCCACCTCCTCGACGTCGTCAGCACCCACATTCGCCGAAGCTGCACTCCGAAGCCACATTAGTGAAGAAATTTAACCCAAATTGTCATAGCTTGAGACGGATCGACCAAATTGTCATAGCTTGAGACGGATCGAGTGTACAAAAGGTGATCAAATGGAGTTACCGAGAAGGCTCTGGGCCTTGAGGAGGATTTCGCGGGAGGCGGCGATGGGCGCGAGTAGGAAGCGCGCCGACTTCTTCTTCTGCTCCCGCAGCAACTCCTTCGGCCCAGCTGCGGCATCCCAACAAACAACAACAGCGAGAACAACCGGAGAGGAGAAGAGGTGAGAGCACGGTCTCCGGCGAGCTGCAACAAGTGCAGAGTCAAGGGAGGTATTCGTACGGATGCCGAGGGAGAAGGCGGCGGCGGCGGTGGGCGGGCGGGGCGTCGAGCCGGCCAGGACGAGCGCTAGTAGCGCCGCCCGGCGAGAGGGGAGGTCCGGAAGCGCTTGCGGCTGCCGCGAGGACTCCCGCGAGGCGCGGGCGGCGCTGGTCCTTCGCCGGAGTGGTCGCGTCGCCGTCTCCGTCGCCGGCGCCGGCGCCGCCGGCGCCGCGGCGAGCGAGTGGATGGCGCGCATCGGGCCACTCATGGGTAGCTCTGGGATTTGCTTCGTCTTCGTGTGGGCCTTCATGTTGTGTTGAACACATCGCTTCGAGGATGGATTACATATCCCGTATTTACGTCTTCGTGGAGATTTGACGGGTTTGACTTGAACTACGCTTACACTCATGTAATGGCGTCGAGTAACTCCTAAGATCATATGATAATCAGGGTTTAGGGGTTAATATTCTAAGAAATAGTAACTTTTTTGGGCTTCCGCACCTGAATTTGTCATTTCATTGAAAGGAAGAGTGCAAGGTTCATTACGTAGAGTTTAGAGTTCGTAGGTGGGAAGAGAAGATTTCTTTCCAAATAGAAATTACATGGTGATCTTCAGTCTTAAAGTTTTCAGCCCACATTGTAGCCTCTCGCACACAGCGTTGCAGACATGAAGCAATCGAGGGGACTTGTCATCTGAAGACAACATCATGTCCGTGATTCCACATTGCCCATAAGCAGAGGAGGTAGAAAACCTAAAAATGTAGAATAGGCACTCCTTGTCCTGGCTTCAGCTGATGGAACGGGTTCACGTCTTGAATCATCGGTTGCACTCCAATTTTCTTGCCTGGGCTTCAGCTAAAGAAATAACTTTTGATAGTTAGCTTCGAAGAATCTAAGCAACTATAGATTATTACAATATGGATGAAAAGCTTAGCTATTTAGGGGAGCTTTTGGCTCTAGTCTCTCATGTATTCAGGCTCACGTCATGACAGCAGGAAAAGAAGGTGAACTTTATGAAAAGCAAAAAGGATACGTGCAAGGTTGCACATCAGAGAATACAATACGTGAGGATAATTGGAGGTTATAAATTGGAACAATGGATAAAAACATGTTGCAAGCATAGGATGAACGAGTTGATCGAAATGGATTCGCACAACCTCATCTTTTCATAAAAAGAAAAGGAATCGCATATATAACTCCAACCAATTAAGACGATAACACAATCAACAGAAGATGCTAGATGCGTGATGGATATATCGCATCACAAGCTTCACAAAAAGATTATTCTGTCCTCCTCAACACTTGCAACAACATTTTAGCCTTTGGTTTAGGATATACGTGAGTAATGCAACATATCGAATTTGTTCGATTTTCTTGTCCTTGGAACAAATGGATTCCTGCTTACAAAAAGAATCGAAGTTCTTGTGCCAAACTGCCAATGATGCAGGATGATTGGGAAAAAAAAATCTTGTACCAAACTGCCAAATGCTACTCCTAGTAATGCAAGCCACGTGCTTCAGTGCTCTCACCGCGAATCGTGTTCGGGGTTGGCATCAGATTAATCTAATCACGCCGTCCTAATCCCGACCTTAGCCGCAACAAAAGCCTCTGAAAATAGATCGGATCGATCACTTGGAGTACTGATTTGTTTGTCTCATGCGTCTCGCCCATTAGCCTATTCTCACTCGCGCAAACTTAACACGTACTTACAACTTTATCATAAGTTGAAAGCTACTCACTCAGTACAAAAAAATATAAGCATTTCTAGCATAGTACTCCACAAGTTAAATATTTTTAACTTTGACTATTAATAGCAAAAATATAAAAAAGATCAATCATATAAAATTGATGTCACTAGATTTATCATTAAACAAACTATCATAATATGTAACTCTTTTTTATTTAAAACATCTTACTTTTATAAATATTGTCGGTTAAAGTAGTATCTCAGAGATCGTATCAAAGTTAAAAATACTTATATTTTAGAACGGAGGGAGTAGGTTAATAATTGGACGAAAAGCTTTAACAGAAAAGGTCATGTCATCACTTATAAGATACTACTACTATAACCCAATTTGGAGTGTAATGCTCCCTTTCCAAGTCTATACTACTCCACTTTGTAATCGGTTACTAACCCCACTCTCGCAAGTAATTAAGCAACAAGAGCATGCGAATACTTTGACAAGCTAACAAGGACAATGCGACCAAAGAACTGAAGATATATACCAGTGCAAGCAAAGTGCAAAGAACTGACCCAAGCATGTGCCAAAATGCAACTGATAGCTATCGATCGCTTGGCTGCTTCGTGCAAGAAGACGAGTGCTGTGCGTGCAGCTACTGGTGGCGCACACGGCGTGAGTTATCTATCTATCCAACACGCGTCGGTGGGGCCCAGAAGGAGAGGAAGAGGAGAAGAAAAAGCGACGGGAACGGCTATTGTTCTCCTCCAGGAGTTGTTGATCCAGAAGCCCACGTGGAATCCACGGTCCAAATTGCATGGGAGAATCTATTCAACGGCCAGGATGCCCCATCCATGTCGATGCCCTCTTTATGCCCAGATCAAATATTGATATGCTCACCCTGAAATGTTCACATGGTATTAATAAACCTCTTGGTTCTACAAACAATATAATTCACTCATGTCTGGCTCTCGTTATATGGGTGTTAGAAATATTTATTTTAAAGAATCGATATATCAGGAGCATACGTTGTATTGGAAAAATAGATTGAGGTCGGATCATATCTTGTCTTATCTTGATATTTGTCGTATGTCCTTTTCACCCGTGTCTCCTATCTCACCCATTCTTAACGGATACCTATATTGTCGCATGCACATTGAAACCCTAATTTTAGTCCTTCTCTCTTGTTCCATCTTCTTCCTCATCTCCGATAATTAATCGCCATTAAAACCATTTTTGGTAAGCTCATTTCAACACTCTCGCATTACCTACTCTGACATACACCTTAAGCGAAAAACTCTACAATTGCAACCACTAACATCCCTATTACCAATTCATCAGGTTATCAGAGATACATCCAACTTTGAATTTTTTTTATAAAAACGATAGTTTAACTGTGATATGATCTGATCTGATGTGATATTGAGGACGTTTGAAACCTCTGCATTGGAAATCAATCCACATCTTTTTTAGCAAACCGCTTCTATTAACACATGTACTTTAGGTGAGCGTTCGTGTGGCCGGAGCAATATCCCGGAAGCGGTAGCCGAGCCGCACCGTCCGTTTCCCCCCTCGAGGCCCTGAACCGCAAGGCCCCCCTCGTGTGTGCTTCTCCTGCTTGGCGCGCCCCCGGCCAAACGCATCCCCACCTCCTCCCCTTCCCGTCGCTCGCTGGCTTCCAACGCACGCGAGCCTCGCATCGCATCGGAATCCTCACGCGATCCCTCCGCCCCCCGCCGCGGCGCCGGCCACCACCGCCAATGCCCGGCGGCGCGCGGCGCCGGTGAAGGGTGAGGGCGAGCAGCGCCGTCGCGCGCGCGCCCCGCCCGTTTGGATTCCATTCCTTCCTCTCCCCACTCACACCCACTGCTCAATTTATTCCCACGCGCCCCACGCTGACGCCTCGTCGCACTCGTGTCTCGCGTCCCGTCCCGTCTCGGCGTCGCCTCGCCTTCGCCTTCGCCTATTTAAGGGGGGGCGATATGCTCTTCGCCAGGAGGCCGCTCGCCACCGCCGCCAGCCACCTCGCGCCCTTCTCCCCTCCCCTCCTCCTCTTCTTCGCCTCCGCCTCCTCGTCGTGCTCATCCGCCGCGTCGCCTTCTTCGGCCTCGGGCCCTAGAGGTAAGCGCGTTTTTCCTTTTTTTTTGTTATATGGCGTTTATTTTTTTTGGTTGAATTTTGCGGTTCTCTGGTGATTCTTCTGTGCATGTGCTATTGTTGGTATTTTGTTTTGAAATGGCAGATTTGATCCGACGCGAGCCGCGGAGGAGGCTAACCGTTTTGTTTTAGCCGTCCCATGGCCGACATGGTGCGGTTATATTTGCCGGTTTTTTTAATCATTTTTTGCTGGTTGTTATAGTGAATTTCACGCTCCATCTTAGTTTACAGTGCGACTTTGCTCTCTTGGTGTATTTTACATGGTTCGAATTTTGCGGCCGTTTGCTGAATCGGTAATGGCAATTGGGTATTATGGATTTTGTTTGAATTTTGATGTATTCTTATGTGTGTTTCACACTTGTTATTACATTGCAATCGTAGTACAATTGTTTAGGGAATGGATAGCAGTTCAAATGTTCATTTTACTCTATGTAATCGGCTGATCATCCGTCAATTTTTACCTAGATGCTGGAATTCCAGATTGTGGCACTGCACTTTTTCACTGATTACATGGCGAACATCAATTACTCAATGTTTAGCGTGCTCTGTCCTGAAATATTGATCTCATATCAGGGTGCAGTGCTGTAAGGATGGAGACCGGTGCGGTGGAGCCAGCATCAACAGGAGCAATATGGTCAACGCCATCAGTGGAACCTAGAACCATTTCTGTTGGGAAAGAGATATTCTGCAACCGGTCACTCAACATGAGGAACATCACTGCAGTAGGATTTGATATGGACTACACTCTTGCGCAGTACAAGCCCGAGACATTTGAGGCTCTTGCTTACCATGGCACAATAGAGAAGCTTGTCAAGGACCTTGGCTACCCTGAGGAGGTTAGTTGCACTGAAACACATGCATACTTGTTTGGTGTGTAAAGATAAAACTGTATTAGTTGGTTTAGATGTTTTGAATTACTGTGCCAAGTTCTTCTCTGTATAAACTGAGATATTTCTCCCCTTCGAGTAGGCAGCAATTTGTTTGTGCCGTAGCATCCTCGTGCGTCCGCTGTAGTGGCTGGTGCCTGGTTGCCAATAAGGTACCGGCGCAGCGACGGCAGCCTGTTGTGGTTTGTTCTTGTAGCTGTTGTAAATACTGTAGCTTGGAACTTCTTCTTTCCAAATCTCAATAAACTTCAGCCGGCTTCTACACCGGCCCGGCAATAAACTGAGATATTTCATGGCACAGAGGGACTTTTCTTCTTTTGTTTGTAAGATTGTATTATTTGACTGTCAGAAAAGTTAAACTGTGATGGGACTTCCTTTGTAGCACGTTAGCACTATCATAATGCAATTCTTGTGATGTTTGAATGTAACTTATTTAATGAAAATATAGCATTGTGGACTACTGGGATGATATGATGTTTTTTCATATCATTTCTTTACATTTTTTTATATCATTTCTTTATCTGTATTGAGTAAGCATATATGTGGATATGAAAACAATGAAGAGAATACCACCACAATGTATACTAACATTCTCATGCTCTGGCGTTTGTGTTATTGACTACAGCTGTAATTTGCTGGTAAAAGTGTTATGTAATAGTCTTTTGCAAATTTGCTTGTTCCATACATTGTTTTTTTATTGGACATGTCATCTAACCCGTTCCATATTTAATGTTTTGATGCTGAGATGTATGAAGCAATTGTTCCTTTGTTTCCTTTTGCTCTGAATTTGATATTCTTTGTTTCCATTGTGCAGCTGTTAACATGGCAGTTTGACTGGAAATATATGGTCAGAGGATTAGTTCTTGATAAGAAGAGAGGGAATATCTTGAAGGTCAGCTATTGTTGGTTGAACTCACCACACTTATGTAGAAATAGTATTATATGCGCTTATTCTTATATGAACCATCATTAAGTCAGCAATCATATAAAGCAAAGTGCAATACATATTGACATATAATGAGAACTAGATTGAGGAAATCACAAATCAGATGTTATAATGCCTAGTTTTTACTTGATATCAGATATTATAATTGAACCTTAGATCTTTAATCATCATCTTATTTGTGAGTAACGCATCTATACTTCTTCAAAATGCTTATTATTCACCGAGCACTTTCATCACTTCGGAAGTATTTTTCTTGCATCTCTTGATTAAAAAATTCAATTGCTAAGAGGCAACAACCATGTAGTCCTAGGCTCCTAGCATACTTTCTGGTACTATTGGACACTCATTGCTAGTTTTTCTTTTATATATGCCCTCTATGGTGGAGAATTTAACGTGATAACTGTTTGTTTCAATGGATATCTAATGAATATATCATAGGTTCTAAAATTCAAAAGTCTTATATTAGGTAAAAATACAAATGATTTGCAAAACGTATGCTACAAGACACATGCACAAATGTTAGATTTATCCATAGAATATCCCACCGGACCATCAACGCAATAGGTGGTTCTGTGATGGTAGACTTACACCACCACTAGGTTCTTTTTCATTGTATGTAGGAAGCATATCTAATGATTTGTTGCTGTAGTTTTGAGCTGGACACGACATGAGCAACTCATTGTTTTTCATTTGGAAAAAAAAAACTAACTCTAATTTACTGTTGGTTGGTGCAATATCAGATGGATCGGCACAAGTATGTGAAAGTTGCTTATCATGGATTTAGGGAAATGTCAAAAGAAGAAAAAGTGTCTGCTTATGGAAGTACATTGATACGAGATTCCTTTGATGAGCCTGACTATGCCCTCATAGATACACTTTTCTCATTGGGTGAAGCCTATCTGTTTGCTCAACTTGTTGATTTCATGGATAACAATCCTGGAAAAGTACCTTCAGGCACTGAGTATGGTTATTCCAATCTGTACTTGCTGATAGTCTTTTTACCTTGAGAGCCAAAGTGTTCACATACTGTGGTTTTGTTTTAGAGCTTGCATTCTTTTTTCGGTACAGCTATCCGCTTATGTACAGAGATGTGAGGTCTGCTGTTGACTTGTGCCATCGTGATGGAACATTAAAGAGAATGGTCGCAAAGGATCCTAGCAGGTACAGTTTTGACAAAATCAAATCTTCTTTTTTCTGTAATAGGCTAGTTTGATCCAATGACATCATGCATCATTTCCAATATTATAATCTGAACTTCTATATTGTGTTGATTGCATTAGGATTATAATTCTGTTAATTTATGTAGTTTGAACTTGACAGGTACATCAACGAGGACTTGGCCATTGTACCGATGCTTGAAATGATTAGAAAATCTGGGCGCTCAACATTCTTGGTGACAAATAGGTATATGGATCCCTATGTTATTTCAGGCTCCATGGGAGGCTCGTGTTCCCACGTTACATCAAAGAAATGCTGTGTTGCTATTGTTTCCTTTTCCTATATTGCTGTACTTAAGTAAAATGGTTTTGCATCTTGCTTGTCCTTGCAGTCTGTGGGACTACACAGATGTTGTCATGAACTACCTCTGTAGGCCATATACCTCAGATGTAAGCTCCAGTCACAACCACAAGTGGCTTGGATATTTCGATGTTGTGATAACAGGAAGGTTGGTGTGCTCTAACGTTCCTTGTTTGTCCGTTTGTTTTGTTGTTGATATCTGTTCCCTGAAGGTATTTTGATTCCTCAACTTGGTCTCTTTTTGAACCTTTTCAGTGCAAAGCCAGGGTTCTTCCATGATGGTAACCGTGCTGGACTGTTTGAAGTTGAGCCTGATTCTGGAAAGCTTTTAAATGCTGATCTTCATGTTAGTAATATGATTTTGTAAGTACAATTTTTCTGTACACTCCACGTATTTCTAATGTTCTGATATTCTTCTGTGAAGATTGGAAGCCCCAGATCAGGTCAGCAGCCTTCAAGGCCAATCCACAAAATTTACCAGGTACCTATTTTCCTGACAGGATGTACATAGTAATTTTGGCCATATAGTGGTTTTTCCAAAAGTAACCAGAGGTCAAAATGAACTTTGCAAACTATTATCTGGCCAGTTAACATCAGTTCTATTGTTTAATTTTTATGACATGTTTTGATTATTGCACTAAGTAGGATTTAATTCTTGTCATATTTTTAACAGGGAGGAAATGTTGGTCATCTTCACAGATTACTTTCTGTTGCTTCTAGTTCTCAGGTATCATCATTATTTGTGGCTGGTTGCCTACTTGCATATTTTCTTACTGATCAAATAATATATCATCTTAACATTGTATAGATCTTATATGTTGGAGATCACATTTATGGAGACATACTGCGCAGCAAGAAAGTCCTTGGTTCGTCGTGCTTTTCATTCCCTCTTTTTCTGTCTGATCTTTTTTATTTAATATATATTGCGCATGATATTAAATGGTGTTGCAATAGTTAGATAAATGAGTACACTTAAAAGTTAGTTTCAATGCTAGTTCCACTCAAGCAACTATAAGTACTGCTCAGTAATGTTTAAACTGTTTGTTTCTCATTGTTTTTCAATTCTCATGACAATCTTTCTATAGTGTCAATTTCAATATGAAAAATATGGCAAATCTTTTGAAAAATGTGTAGCATGGCATAAATCATATTTATATCATCGCTGTTTTCATTCTTATATGTTGGAGATCACATTCCTATAGTTCTCTTTGTTTGCATGCATCATCAGTGCAAATTAGCCAAGATGTCAATTTTTAACATGAAAAACGGCAGGAAATACAGTTTTACTTTATTCAATCCCTAAGTTATTATGTGTTGTGATTTTTCTTTTAGGTTGGCGCACAATGCTAGTAATACCAGAGCTAGAGCAAGAGGTGAAACTTCTTTCGGAATCAAAATCTACTCGAAAGGTATCAGTTATACTCAGTTTGCCAATCCAGAATGAATCCAACAGTCTTGTGTTAGCATTCTATGCAATTACCAGCCTGCAATCCTATACAACATAATAACAAAATGGTTCTTGTCAGGAATTAGTATACGGGTCCAGAATGTTGAGATGTTGTCTGACCTGAAAGCTTTTCATATCTTCCCTTGCATAGTTTGGTGTCAATCAGACAATTATATACATGATATTGTGCATGTTGAGACTGATTGTATTATCAGTCTGCCAAGCAACTGCTTCATTACCTCTTTTTTTTTTATGTGCTAACCTAACCAGGAGCTTAGGCATCTTAGGATGGAGCGTGATTCAATTGAAGATAAAATCCATCGTCTTGAATGGTCACTCAAGTATGTCAAGAAAGTTTCTAGCTCTCTGCTTTGATTACTTCTACATGTTAAATATCTTATGTCTGCCCCTAATAGTTTGCTTATTATATTTTCTAGTAAAATTTGAGTACATCACATTCCACATCTATTACTGATTCACTTTTGTTTAGGTTTGAAAATCTTACAGAAGATGAGAAGGAAAAGTTATTCTCGGAGCATGACATTCTGCTGGTACGTATATATTCTGAGTTGTAATAGCAGTTGGTACTTGGTACTGAAATGAAAACGATTGATATGTCTATGGTGTGCTTGAAAAAAAGAAGCCACCCTCTTTCAATCTTATCCTTTTAACTATGAGTAGCATTTAATTTGCACATATGAAGACAAAAGTCAATATGGGAAATGATGGCTGGAAAGTAGAAACTTGGCCACCTGGGTTCAATGTAGTTAATCGGATTTACCAGTCCACTCATTTAATAGAGAATTAGTTTTGTACCACAAGATCACCAGCTTAGAAAAATACACGTTTCTGGTAGGTTGAACTCATAATTTTTTTGATTACTGATGGTAACCAGTCATGATAGTATGATGTGCCTTTTGTTCTGAGAACAATGTCTGTCCTGGCAGCGTATGGTCTCATCTTAAGATTTCTATTGCTTATCATTTTCTCTGGGTACTGCAGCAAAAGAAGGAACATGTTCGTCGGCTTCATCAAGAGGCTCAAAGGCAACATCATCATAAGGTACTTTGCTTGGTACAAAACCTTTCAATGTTTCATCCAAAATTGAACACCTAACTCAAAAAAAAACTTTGAATTGTAACCAACTACCTTTTCTGGACTTCTGAATTTTGCATAGCCTCTTCTTCCCCATCTATTGATTGCTACTTTTTATTATAATTTAGTTCCATAAAGTGTGGGGGCAACTCATGAAGACGGGTTATCAAAACTCCCGATTTGCTCATCAGGTAACATGCTTTTAAACATCGTCTGGCGTCCTGTACTGAATGTTCGTGTTGGTTGCCATCTCTGGCAGTTGATATAAGACTCATCTTTTGCATTTTTTTTTTGGATTAATCTTTCTCTTTGCATGTTTACACAGGTCGAGAGATTTGCGTGCCTTTACAGTAGTCAAGTCACAAACTTTGCTTTGTATTCTCCCAACAAGTACTACCGTCCAAGCGAAGATTACATGCCCCATGAGTTCGATGTGCTTGGGCTGTAGGAGTTCTCCCGGTCTCCTTGAATAGATTTTCAGCTTGCATCTGGATAGGAGCATGATCTTTTGTCCTGTGGCTCTTACCGTCTAATAACATTGTAGTTTCTGTTAATTTTGTAAGCAAGTGTGGGATTAATCTGGTGAATGTTCACCTGTTCTTTTCAAGTTACCGCTGAAAAAAGAAAGCGAAAGGTTTGTGTAATTATAGTCGGCCATAGCAGATCAGCAATTTAACTATATCTTTTTGTACATAATAACAAGCTTATAGTGAAATTAAAGGAAAAGTTCTTGATGGAAAGTTTTAGCTCTCTGTCTTTGATTTTGCTATATATTAAGTATAATATATTGTATTGTAATTGCATTATAAGTTATAACTTACATATATCTACAATATAAGCTGTAGATATCTTCCATATAATTTTGAATTGTTATATTTAGTCCGATGACCTTTGCTTTGTGAAAATAGCGTGTTAAATTTTTCAAGGTTACATATTTGTACTTACGTATAAGTTACAATGTTATTATACAATAACAGTACATAGGGTGTGTTAGTATAAGTTACAATGTTATTATACAATAACAGTACATAGGGTGTGTTTAGTAGTGTAAAGTTTTTGAACTATACGGAGACACATTTGAAGTATTAAACATAGACTAATAACAAAACAAATTATATATTTCGCCTGTAAACTATGGGACGAATTTATTAAGCCCAATTAATCCATCATTAGCAAATGTTTACTGTAGTCAGGGGCGGATGCAGAGTATATTAGGGGGGTGCCCAGGAATCCAGTCAAAAAAAAATTTAAGCTATACCTCACCTATTTTCACCATGTGTACAGCTTCGCCCCTGACTGTAGTATCACATTGTCAAATCATGGCGTAATTAGGCTCAAAAGATTCGTCTCGCAATTTACATGCAAACTGTGCAATTGGTTTTTTTTTCGTCCACATTTAATGTTTCATGCATGTGTCCAAACATTTAATGTGATGTTTTTGGTCAGATTTTTTTTGAATCTAAACAAAGCCATAATTTATCGATAATCGTATGGATAGCCTCTTTGTTTTTGCAATTGGCGGGCTCCTTATGCGTAAAGCTGAAGCTATGCTAAATCTGACACGGGTAGCAAATGAAAGGGTTTGCATACGTTGGTTTAAACCCTTTTTTGTGTCTAATGCCGACCCTTTTCCTTTTGCCAACACCAACAGACATCGATGCGCGTTGCTTTCTACTCCAATTGTCAAACGACTAGTTCCCGTTAAAAATTTAAATTACATTGCCCTGTCGCAATTTTTGCCATGTTCCTTCCTAACGTTCCTGTGTCTCAGTCAACCCGTTCATTTCATACCAGGGAGTCCAGGACTGAGAGGACAGATGGGCCAGACACTGGTGCAATTGCCACAAACCGGCCCGACGAACCGCCTCCGCGTCCTCTCTAGGCCGCATCCAAACGTAACAAAAGCCCAGCCCACCAACGCAAGCTGCAGCGCCTCTTCCTCCCCTCCTCCACCCGGCAACCTCCCCATCCACTAGCTCCCCAGGCTGCACAGCCCACCCCCGACCACCCCTCGATCCGCCTCCGCCTCCGCCTCGTCGTCGCCGTCGACGCCCCCACCCACCATGGCGGCGCTCCTCGCCCGGCAGGCAGCGCAGGCGCTCCGCGCGCGCCAGATGGTGCGGGAACCCTATCACCCCTCCTCCCCCGCCCGCGACCTCCTAGATCTCTCTCTCTCTCTCTCTCTCTCTCTCTCTCTCTCTCTCTCTCTCTCTCTCTCTCTCTCCCCATCTCCTCTCTCAGATCGAGTATTCCTGCTCCGAGCTTCTGGGTGTTGTGATTCGCGTGTGATTCTTGGGGTGATGGTGTTTGCAGGCGCAGCTCGGGCCGTCCGCGACGGCGATGCAGGGGCACATCCGGACCTACATGGGCGCAGGGAAGCCCACGAGGTTCAAAGGTCGTAACCCTTATCCCTGTGTTACTGCACTGTTCAGTATCCGAATTGCTACTTTGGAACCGATACGTTCTACGTTGGTTACGTCGTGTGATTGCTAGGAATCCTATACGTTGGAAGTATTTAGCCCACTAGTGTGAACTGTGAAAGAGTAGTGAATCCAATCTGTTGGTGTTTTGTGGTACATACAGTTGTAAGAGTAATGAATTAACGATGTATCGGAAGCTTCACGGTGTAGTTATGTCTGGAAACCAATATGATGAAACACGCCTTGCCTGCGTGTAGTAATTTTATTATAGTCTGCAGAACTTCCTAGCCAACAACTCATGAAGTTCCATTCTAATTGGTGTGATGTCGCTATTTTTTTCTTATACTTTTTCTTCCTAATTACCAGAGGATGAGGAGAAAGAGAAGCTTGCAAAGGAGATAGCGAAAGATTGGAATGCTGGTGAATTTCTAATGATACTCTTTATCTATGCATCGGAAAAGTTTGTGATCCACTATTCCCTTTAATGCTTATTTTGAACTTTCTTGCTTCAGTATTTGAAAGGAGCATCAACACATTGTTTTTGACTGAAATGGTCCGCGGTTTGATGCTGACACTCAAGTACTTCTTCGAGAAGAATGTTACAGTTAAGTGGTGAATTTGGCATACTGTTTCCTTTATAATGTAATTGCATGCTTGTATTTACCTTCTTATCCTACCTCCTTACAGATCAACTATCCATTTGAGAAGGGTCCTTTGAGCCCTCGCTTCCGAGGAGAGCATGCTCTCAGACGCTATCCAACTGGAGAAGAGCGTTGCATCGCCTGTAAACTATGTGAAGCTGTAAGTTACATTTTCTTTTGCACGGTAAATAAGTGAGTTGAAGTTATACCTAGTTAGCCCTAGAAGAAGTAGATATTATAGGTATAACTAAGTGTAGGAAATTAGCCAATCCTAAAGGAAATGCAGTCTTCCCAGTTTCCATGAATAATAGCTGGATTGGTGATTCTTCTTTATGTTTAGATAATACTGAATTCACTCATGTAACTTAACTTTGCTGCAATGTTCCTCATATCAAAAAGAACTTCTGTGTGCAATACTCAGTTCAGTTGATTGAATTATTTAGACTGCTACTTTGTAAATACTTAGAAAGTTAGAATTTTAGGTTGGCCATTGCAGACTTGCTACCAAATTTAAGATAGTAATCAACTACATACTGGTTGTCCTTAACAATAATCGATCAATTTTTTTTTCTTTAAATTGGACAGACTAAAACTACCTTTAAAAATGCCAAATCACTTTCCAGGAAACATTACCACCAAGTAGAGGTTTTTTTTGGCAGAACTGGAATTTGAGGGTTGAAGCCTTCTTGTGAACTTTGAAACCTTGAGTTCGTAAGTAAGAATCCATAGTGTTTGAACTTTGAACTGTATATCAATTGGATCCCTTTCTGAACCTATTATGGTCCATTAGATTTACTTATTGTCTGTTCAAACTTATACATACTTAGTGCACATAATAGGCCTAGGAAATTTTTGGACGGGTGTCATATCTTGATTGTTGATATTTCACAGTTGAATATATGAATATAAACTTTACGGGGTGTCGGGGTCTGCATATGTGCACTAGTTGCGTACTGAAAAATTTGCCAAAGATTGCCAAAAAAAACTGAAAACTGTAGAATTCCTGCACTCAGCTTGGTATGCAATGTTATTGCTACCAACTAAGGCCTTGTTTGGTTAATCCCCATGAGGGAGGGATTGGAGGGGATTTTTTCCACACTTATTGTGGTGTGGAATTATTCCCCCTCAATCCCCTCCAATCCTCGTCAATCCCATCCAAACCGAACAAGGCCTAATGCAATGTATTGGTTTGTTTGGAATGTTAGAGAAACAACTTGTAAAGCTTAAGGTAATCAGCTTTACTTATGTAAAGCAATGCATGTTTAACTTGAAGGCTTGATGATTCTCATGCTGATTAAGGGTAGTTATTGTTGCGTTTTATGCGTTCTGTTAAACAATCTCTTTTGCTCACTTGGCATTACAAATGACCAGATATGCCCAGCTCAGGCAATCACAATTGAGGCAGAAGAACGTGAAGACGGTAGTCGTAGAACTACAAGGTAATCCCGTGGCTGGCTTTCTTTGATCCGTGTGAATTATTGAAAAATGATTTACTGCCTCTTCATCTGCTGTTAAGCTCTGTTGTGATGAACTCCTTTTTGCAGATATGATATTGATATGACCAAATGCATCTATTGTGGCTTCTGCCAAGAAGCTTGTCCTGTTGATGCCATCGTTGAGGGTCCTAACTTTGAGTTTGCTACTGAAACCCATGAGGTAAAACACTTGATTCTGCTGCAGATTCTTTTTGACATATTGCTGGGATATCATACATGCATCTTTTTTCTGCAATGACAGGAACTGCTATACGACAAGGAAAAATTGCTTGAGAACGGCGATCGTTGGGAGACTGAGATTGCTGCAAACTTGGAGTCCGAGAGTCTTTACCGTTGATTTTTGTTACTCATGATAAGGATTCAGCATTTCCCTGTTTTACTCAACTAGCTGATAAATAAGCAAACTTTGTATCATAACCTAAATACCTGGTACCATGCTTTTGTACCTTGGTCCATCATTTGTTATTTTGTGCCAGGGTAAAGGTGCATTACCATGTTTTTTTCGATATCATTGTACTGTTGTCGACTCAGATGGCATTTTGAACAAAATATTGTGGTTCAGAATGCACCTTTTGTTAGTAAATTGCTTGCATCTAGACAATGCAGGACCGATGCTTCTGTATTTATTCTTCTCTGCGTAAATTCATTCCAACATGGATACTGCTCTATCATTTCCCATTTCATAAGCATCTTCTCTATCATTCTCTTATGGAAATGGGATAGAACTCAACTGCTTCATGCCTCAAGCTTCAACCTGTTGTTGACAAGCATGAAGCAATTGAGCTCTGAAGCAAATGAGCAACCAAGATGCTTGTGCGTAGCACACATTAAGCAATTGACGTCTATACAATCAAGAGAAGTAAATAAACTCGAAAGAAACTCAGAGATTTTGAGCTACGAAAGACAAGCAACAAAGAGCTTTCGTAGCTCAGTTGGTTAGAGCACCCGTTTAGTAAGCGGGAGGTCTTGAGTTCGACTCTCAACGAAAGCAATTTCTCTCTCTTTTTTTTTCTTCTATTTTGTGCTCATAGCTACATCGTTCAGTTCAAGATAGGTTGTTTTCTATGTTGTGTTCATAGCATCATTGTTCAATCCAAGACAGGTTATTTTTTAAGTTTCATTGTTTAAGATAGGTATTTGTGTTCATAGCTTCATCCTTATAGAGACAGTGGAAATGTTCGTTTTTCAACCTCAGACAGCTCAGTCTCCCGCAGGAAGGGGAACGGCATCCGTTCGGTTCATCGCCCGCTAAAGGAATATGTTCATTTGAGGTCCCTTAACTTGTCAACGAATCCAATTTTCATCCCTCAACCCGGAAAACTAGACACAACGAGTCCCTCAACTATCAAAACCAGTGCAGATTAGGTCCCTCGGCGGTTTTGAGGGCAGTTTTGGCTGACGTGGCGCCTACGTGGCTAATTTAACTCGGTCTTCATCTGACGTGGCATTGACGTGGCGCTTATGTGGCAATTCGAGCCGAAAAAATAATAAAATACTCAGGACCCACATGTCAGTCTCACATAGAAAATAATAATAAAAAATTGTGGGACCCACGTGGCCCCATATGTCAGTCTCACACATAAAATAATAAAAAAAATAGTGGGACCCACGTGGGCCCCACATGTCAGTCCAACTCACCCTCCTCTTCTTCCTCCTCTCTCCCCGTCTCCCCTCTTCATCTATCTCTCCTCTCCTCTCTCCCGGCGACGGAGAGGCAGCGGCACGCGGTGGCCGGCTGCCGGCGGGAGAGGAGGGAGCGGCACAGCCAGGCGCGGCGTGCGGAGGCGGTTTGGCGCGGCGGCGCGGCACCGGTAATGAAGGGGAGGAAGGCGAAGGGAGCTCCATGGGCGGCGGTGGGTTTGGGGAAGGGCTGGCGGCGGCGGGGAACTCGGTGGTGGCGGGGATGGAGGTGAGATCAGCGCGGGGTGGAACGGGGAGGTCGGCGCGGCGTCAACAGCATCGGCCGGGCGCGGTGGCTCGGCAGTGCGCGGCCAGGAAGTGGCATAGGGGGGAGGAATCGGGGCGGCGCCGGGCAGAGGAGGGAGGGAAGGGGAGCTTCACGGGGCGGCGGTGGATTGGGAAGGCCGGCGCGGCGGTGTGGAGAAGAGGAGGCTGGCGGCGGTGGGGATGGAGAGGATGGCCGGCGAAGGTGGGGATGGAGAGGATGGACCGGCGTGGTGGGGAAGGGCGACACGAGGAGAGGCTGCCGCGGGCGACGCCGGCGCAGCCGTGCTCGGCTGAGCGTCGGCCGACTCCGGCGGCGGTAGGAATGGAGAGGTGCGCCGCCCTTCTCCCCGCCGCTCCATGGCGCACCATCGCCTCGCGGGCCGCCGGAGGCGGAGGAGGAGCTCGGGCGCCGCTCGGTGACGCCGCGTGGGGCGGCGGCGGCGGCCGCGTCCATTGGCGTCGGCAGTGGAAGGGACGAGGCCCCGCGCGACTGCGGCCCACGAGGCGATGGCGCCGGGCACGCTCCTCCGCCCGCGAGGCGATGACCTGAACGCCGCGGAGGGAGGGGGCCCGTGGCGGTGGCGGTGGCCATGCTCCTCCACCCGGGAGGCCCGCCTTCGCCGAGGGGAAACATGCGGCGGCGGTAGTAGAGGAGGAGACAATGTTGCAGCTGCTGGCGCATGGCCGTGGCGGGCGGAGCTCGAACGCGACGAGGTGCGTGGGCGTGGAGACGGTGGAAATGAGGTGCGCCGCCCTTCTCCCCGCCTGCCGCCGCTCGTCGGTCGTCCTCCCCATTGGCCGCCGCCTGTCTCGGCGCCCCTTCTCCCCGTCGGTCGCTGCCCGTCCCCGTGCCCATTCTCCCCGCCGGTCGCCGCCTGTCCCGGAGCGCCATATCCCCATCGGCTGCCGGCGCCGCCCCTTCTCCCCGCTAGTCGCCCGCCCGTCTTCCCGCCGCCCGTCGGCAGAGAAGAGAGAGGAGAGATGAAGAGAGGGGAGATGGGGAGAGAGAGGAGGAAAAAGAAGAGGGTGAGTTGGACTGACATGCGGGGCCCACGTGGGTCCCACATTTTTTATTATTTTCTATGTGAGACTGACATGTGGGTCCCACTGGTTTTATTATTTTTTCGAATTGAATTGCCACATAAGCGTCACGTCAGTGCCACGTTGAGAGACGAAAATCGGATTCGTTGACAAGTTGGACCTCAGTTAGAAATCCACAATCCCGTTCTGGCCCAATAAATATGGCCTGCACGTGGGCCACAATCCCGTTCCGGCCCAACTTCGTCTTTTCGGCCCAATGGGCTAAACCGAACACGGTGGCGACGCACCGCAGTCCGCAGCCGGAGGAACGACGGCGACGGCGACGTGGACGTCGACGAGAGAGAGAGAGAGAGAGAGAAGCAGTGGCGGAGAACGCAACGAGATGAGATGAGCTTCCCGGGGAGATGGGAGGAGAGCTAGCTAGCCGCCGAGGCTGAGCTCGCCTCCCCGCCTCCCGATCCCCGCGACCCCTCGCAGCCACACCCCCACCGGATAACGCAACGCCTTCCCCCTCCCCCATCAAAACCCCCCTCCCCCCTCGCGCGCCAACTGCTCTCCTCCTCCGCCGCCGCCGCCGCAACCAACCAGCCAGCCAGCCATGCAGCCCGACTCCGCCTCCCACCGCATCGCCCGCGTCGCCGCCCACCTCAGCCCGTCGCCGCGCCCCCAGGTGCGCCGCGAAACAGTTCATCTCTCGCTCTCTCGTTGCGTGATGTGAGGGGATGACCAATCTGTGCGTGTGTGTGTGCAGATGGAGGAGGGGGTGAGGCCGGCGCCATGCAGGGCCAAGGGCGGCGCGCCGGGGTTCAAGGTGGCCGTGCTGGGCGCGGCGGGAGGGATCGGGCAGCCGCTGTCGCTGCTCATGAAGTTGAACCCGCTCGTCTCTGTGCTCCACCTCTATGATGTCGTCAACACGCCCGGTGTCACCGCCGATGTCAGCCACATGGACACCACCGCCGTGGTAACCTACTCATTCCATCCCGTTCGACTGCTAGCTTATTGTGGTAGTATTGTACTAGCACCTGGTCTGCACATCGGCAGTGATGATTGATGCCTGAAATCACTTTTCAGTTTCTTTCCCTTGCAGTCTGTTTGGTTGGAGGGAGTTTCTAGGAGGGATTGGGAGTTTAAAGGGATGAGGCTATTAACTGTTTTGTTTGGTTGGGGGACATGGGAATTTTGGTGGGATGAGGATGGGGAATTGAGGAATGAACTCCCTCCTTTTCAATACCTGGTTAGGGGCAGGTAATTGGGAGGGAATTCCTCCTTTACTTCGCCTAAACAAATCTCAGCCATCCGTTTTCATTAATGATCTAATCTCCAACTAAACTCCCTATCAATTTCCACCACCTCTACCAAACAAGAGACTGGGATGAAAAATCAAATTCACATCTTAATCTCACCATCAATTCCCTCGTGTAAACTCCCAATCCCCTTCCCTCAAGTTGCCAAACAAGCCTTGTAGTTAACCAAACGACTTGCCAACAATGAGATCTCGCTTTTTCTATTGTTCCAGTGAAGTCCAAAAAATATATATAGAAAACTATGATAACATCTTATCTTGTGTTGAAAAAGAAAGCCACCTTATGTTAGTTCCTTTTCAGTTTAATCATTATCAACAGTAAATGGTACTGTAGGTAAACCTCTTGTTATTGAAATTTTTAATTCATTTATAAAAAAAGGAAAAAAAGAGAAAAGATTTGCCTGCAAGCTAAAAAGGATAGAAGTGAAAAAAATGATAATTTTTTACTTGCAACTTACAATTGCACTCCACTATTTTCAGATAGTTCGAATGGATTACTGATTAGTTATTTATCGAATGGATTACTGATTAGTTATTTATCTGTGCATAGATACTGATGTAACAAATAACTGTACCCAAATTCCCTTGTAGGTCCGTGGTTTCCTTGGGCCCAACCAGCTTGAGGCAGCACTTACAGGAATGGATCTTGTCATTATCCCTGCTGGTCTCCCAAGGAAACCAGGAATGACAAGGGATGATTTGTTCAACAAAAACGCTGGGATTGTTCGCTCACTTTGTGAAGGCGTTGCCAAGTGCTGTCCAAATGCAATTGTGAACTTGATCAGCAACCCAGTGAACTCAACCGTCCCCATTGCAGCAGAGGTTTTCAAGAAAGCTGGAACTTATGATCCCAAACGTCTCCTTGGAGTTACAACACTGGATGTAGCAAGGGCAAACACCTTTGTGGTATGCATTCTAACAAATTGTTTTCATATCATCTCTTAGATAACATTAAGATACATGTAAATACTGTGTACTGCTCTTTGACCATAAAATTTTTCTTTTTCTACTGCTTATAGGCTGAAGTACTTGGAATTGACCCAAAAGATGTCAATGTTCCAGTTGTTGGTGGGCATGCTGGAGTGACTATATTACCCCTCCTCTCCCAGGTATTATTCCATCAATATTAGCGCATGTAAACACTAATTATCCGCATTTCAACTTCTGCAAATATAATAACTTGCTAATCCAAGACCTGTCTCTCTGCAGGTCCACCCCCCATGCTCATTTACCCCAGATGAAATCAGCTATTTGACTAAACGCATACAGAATGGTGGCACAGAAGTTGTTGAGGTACAATGCATGCATATTCGAAGTGCTGAAATTAGCCTTGATGCACGTGATTAATTTTGCCCCAACTATTCTCTTTGTTTGATTTTCTACAAACAGTACATGCATATGTGCACATCTTATTTACACAAAAATCTGCATAAAGCTACCATAATGTAGTTATTTGTGTGGAGTTGTCTAATCTAGCCCAAATTTCTTATTTATATTCAGAAGCAATGTCTATATGCCAAGTTCTAGTCCTGTTGATTCAAAATGTCTGATTTCAATTAACAAACCTTCTAGCTCTGTCTAGGTTCCAGAAAGAAAAAAAAATATAACTATGAATTTGTGATTTATTTAATGTCAAATATTGCCTCAACTATAATTTCGTTCCCCATAGCCTTAGTAGGCCAAGTTACTAGGTGTTGATGAGCAAACGTTTTTGAGTTTTTAGGAAGAAAATTTCAGCTCCTACACTACAAATGTAACGGATGCCCTTAACGGAGACTGAAGAAAGCTGTTGATAACAGTAGATAGCGGTATTTGCATATTACTTTAGTTACACGTCATTACATGTCTGAAACTATGGGGATTCTTTTTTTCAGTTTTGGTGTTTCTAATTATTTGGTCATACATATAATGTTCCTTTTGTTTGTGATTCAGGCAAAGGCAGGAGCAGGCTCTGCAACTTTGTCAATGGTAGGTTATATGGCTGCTTATTCTTTGTGAATAGTATCCGAGTTATAAATGCATACTGACAGAAAACCATCTCAGGCTTTTGCTGCAGCAAAATTTGGTGATGCATGCTTGCGAGCAATGCGTGGTGATGCTGGCGTTGTGGAATGTTCATATGTTGCATCTGCGGTATGCTTACACCATCCAAACATTCATCCTTCCTATCAACCGATAACACCATCTTATGATTATTCTCATTTTCTTTCAACTAGGTGACCGAGTTGCCGTTCTTTGCAACAAAAGTGAGGTTAGGTCGTGCTGGAGCCGAAGAGGTTCTCCCTCTGGGGCCGTTGAATGATTTTGAGAGGTACATTAGTTGTATCTAAATATTCTCTTTCAAATGCAGTTGCCTGCAAATACCATCCAAAAATAATTGGTGTGCTTAATGTGTGTTTTAACTTATTTGACACGACAGAGCTGGCTTGGAGATGGCAAAGAAAGAGCTGATGGAGAGCATTCAGAAGGGCATCGATTTCATGAACAAGTGAGGTGTATGAAGGGACAAAGTTATGCATACATGTAAAGAGTGTCCTATATATAGTGCTCATATACATGTAAAATTTTCGCCGGGCTCATATACATGTAAAATCACTTCTGTAAAACGACCGTGAAATGCTAATTACCCTTTAGTTGCACTAAACCTTTTTTTCCTGATCATGGAATAAAAATCCTATACTAGACAACATCCTGTTGTGAACAATTTTGCATGCTTATTTTCATGGTGTCGTGGCCTAATCTGGATTTGATGATCTCTTCAGCAGATCACATTGTTTTGCTCTGCTCCAGGCTTCCAACAGTTTGACTTGCATTTACTGCTGCCGATTGTGTGCCTGCGTTGCTTGCACAAGGCCTCATATAATTGGGGCCTATGTCTAAGTTATTTGATTAAGGGATTCTGCACCGCATGGAGACAGAGTCCAAACTCTGATGAAGGTTCACATAAATTCTAGACCATCTCTTATCAGGTTTTGGACAAACAGTCGGAACAGAGCAGTATAACCTTTCTGAATTTCAGTATCAGGATTTGCTTGAGACAGGTTACCTGAGCTGAGCATCATGTGAGTATCTTATCAGAAGGAGAATGCCTCTGAGGAAGTTTTTGCAGAACATCAGATGGGCCAATCAAAGAGTACATCGATGGAGGAGAAGAAAACATGAGCTGACTGTTTTCCTTTTTGGAGAACTAGCATGAGTTGACTTCATTTCTGACGCAAAATGCTGCAGGATTCTTCTCTCCCTCTATAGCTTTTCCCTGCATTTCCCTTTTCTGTCCTCTGTGAATAGAGGGAGTTGTTGGGTTTGGTGGTGCGTGAGTGCGCCTCTGAATCTCTGATCGATGTGATCATCATTTCCATAGGATTCTCCCTGTCCCACTTGTGTCCGGTCTTAGATTAACTCGCATTTGTGTCCCAACTATGCCTCTGCATTTCTTCTCTACCAACTTCTCCATGGGAAAATAAAATTCGCTGGCATTTTAAGCAATCAGTGCCCCTGTTGTTGCAGATCAGCAAGATGACATGAGAAAATCGAGTGCCAACCAAGATTTACCGAACCGTTTTGAATAGGGTTACAGTCACCCTACAATTTCGCGGTTATCACTGCGCGAGGTATACCCTAGTTTTAAAAACTGAAGCGGGCATTTTACGGAAATACAACATAATAGAGGGTCCTATTAGTAAATTAGCCAGCACATCCTTTTCAGTTAGATCTGGGCCGCACGGTTTGTATCCAACGGTGATCGCTGCTGCTCGCCTTTTCTCTCCGCTGCCGTCGAGCAGGTTCGCCGGCGGCGAGCGATCCGGCGCCGGCGCCGGAGGCGGAGGTGGGGAGCTGGGCCGCTCTCTCCATGAAAATTCTCGGGAATCCGGGTAAAACCAAGCGCTTCCCTTGGTAAATTTCTCTCTCCTGATTATCCCCTCGATTTCTTTCTCCTTTCCTGTCCTTTTCGTTGCCGCGTTTTTCTTTTTTCCTTTTTGAGTTTTCACTTCTGAATCCAAGAAACTCCTAGGGTTTATGGTGTCTCTCCATGAATCCACAGATGATGAGCAATCATTTTCCTTGCAATTAACACGACGCGAACACAAAACTGTTCCTTATTATTCCGATCCAACATCTGCATAACAGAAGAGAGAGACTGATCGAGACAAGAAACGAAAATCAAACAAAAAAAAAGAAAGGAAAAACAAAAGAACATGCGTGAGCGATTGATCATCAAATGGTCCCTCCTGCGTGCCCTGTCACTGTTCTCTAGAGCAGTGCCAATGTAGGCCCTTGTTTCGGCCAAGTGCACATCTTCTTCAGAGAAAGAAGAATGGCAGCAGCTCAAAGTCCCAGTCCCCTACCATGTGAGCAGTAGCAAGCTCTCTTTCTCTCTCTCTCTCTCTCTCTCTCTCTCTCTGTACTCTGTTCATCAATGGACCACCACCCCAATTACAGGCTTGCTTCTGCCTCACATTATGGGAATTGATCAGTGGATTCAGTGCCATTAGCAGAGCATCATTTGGAGTGACCTCCCTTAGTTTCAGAATCTAAGTGTACTTTGCCTGTTCAAAACAGTACAAATGGCTGGATCATTAGGCACATGAGGCTACAGTGCTAGCTAGCTAGCCAAGTCCTTTGCTGCATCCTGCATGACCTTGTATTCTTGTCCAAAATGCTCCAGCAATGGATCCAGATGAGAGGAATCTCGAGTTGATGCTTTCTACTACCGGTACACTTGTGGCTCATGCCTGCATGCATGAACATACTCTGCAAATGTACAACACACAGTGGGGTGTTTATTAGCTGAAGCATACTACTCTAAGTTTATTACTGTGGTAAATAGTGGTGTGGTGAACAGTAACTCATCAGTGAGACACTGAGGCTGGCATTAGCAGTATTGGTGCTCGTCTCTGACGACCAGCCAGCCACAAAACCAAAAGCTGTAGTTGGAGAACTGTTTGCTTTGCATGATTGCAGTAATGACAGCATTGCTGCTTGCTCCAAAGGAGACCAAATTCTTGGGGAACCTTTCTGTTCTTTGTTTTTCTCTCCTACCATGATGAAGCAAAACAACCTTAACCTCGCAGCTGACAATCTCTATTTTTTTTGTTTTGCAGATACAGATAGAGAAACAGAAGCACCTCCTCCTGCAAAATAGCTGGTGACAGAATGTAAGCTCCTGAACTTTTACTTTACATTACATGCAGATAAACTGAATTTACCTGCTTAAATAGATAGTTGAGAGCAACAATACATTAATACTCTTGAGTGATAGGAGTAATTACTAGAGGATTTGTGCATGTGTGAATACATGGCGTTGCCACTGTGTGCAACATTTGCTGTTTCGTCTCGTTGCCGATGTGACCATTCTGTTGGACGCATCGAACTGCACCGAATAAACGGCAGCAGTGCAGCGTCAGAATTCAATACCGTCGCACTCTCCTTCTGATCTGATCTGATCTGATCTGATGGTCCTTTCGCCTCCTAGCATTATCACCAATCGCACAATGAAATCTATAGGTACAGCCGACCATGTCCATTCCTTCACGAGCAAACCGACTTTTGCGAGGATTTTTCGGGATTTTCATTTCGGAACAAGACAATCCAATATTTGAAGAAGAAAAGGTTTAGAAGAACCAATATTCGAATATAAGTACCTCGTGGTGTTCGATAGGTATATTATATCTCTGGATTAACAACAAAAATGTCTCTAGATTCAAGAACAGGAGAGAAACTTCAAAAAGGTTAGGCACTGGTGCTGAATGATTGTAGTAGGGGAGCAGAGAGGCATCATCATGTGATGGACCTCACGCAGCACTATCTCCAGCACTTGGCAGTCATGCTCGGGAGAGTCTTGATCTCTGAATGTCAATCTCCAGATTTCATTTTGCATTTTTTTTAAATGGAATTTGAGCGATTTTCCTAACAGAATTTATTTCACTACTCCAGATTTCAATATGCAAAAAGATTATAGTAAATATTTGTTCCAAACAGGCTAACAAAAATTTTTGGACATTAGAAAGCGTGGATTTTTAGCACAGTTCTTCTCTCCCCCATATATGCTGATCCCACATAATCTGATGTTGCAATAGTGCACTTCATGTTATGCAAAGCAGCCACAAAAGGGTAATCATTTGTTAACCATTCTTGTGCCAGCTTTCTATACACATCACAAAAGAGAACAAAGGAAGAAGCACTCTGATTCTTTGATTTCATTCAGCTCCAAAAGAATAAAAAGAGCAGAATACTTTGACTTTGCTTGATTTAGTGCATATCTGTTCACCATGCAAGGGTGCTTTTCCATGATGGCATTCTAGTATGGGTTTCTCAATTTAAAGGACCCAACTTGAACTGTTTACACAGGACCAGGAACTCAGGAAGTGCTTTAAAGGAAACTTGGTTCCACAGTAAAGCTTAGATTTTGATTCTAAATTGGATAGAAAGCCATTGCCTACATTGAAGATGGATGATAAAAGGCTCTAAAGTACCGAAACTCGCTACGGAATCCTACATTGCAGCACCAAAGGAAACAAACTGGTAACAGGACAACCCACCAAACTGGAATATGTACAGCACAGAACACCTAAAAACTTACCAAGACCTAAATCCATACCTAGATAAGTTTCCGATACTGAAGCTTGCGAACTTTGCAACAAAAGGTTGACAGCAATTTTAGACTTGGTTACTCATATGCTGATGAGATCAGGAGGTGTAGTTGACTCTGAATTTGTTTGCTGCTGCTGTTGATCTTTCGCATCACCAGTTAGTGCTTCTGCAGACCCAGAAGGAACTGGAGCTGGAGGATTGGATGCAAAACCATCGACAGCGTGTGAAAGCACTTCTCCTTGCCTGGGAGCTAGCTTTGGAAGCTCGCTGAGGATCTGTACAACCTCCCGCATTGTTGGACGCTGCACGCTCTGCTCCTCAATGCAGAGCAAAGCGACATAGAAGACGTGCATGACCTCATGAAGTGGAACTGTTGAGAGCCTTGGGTCCAGGACCTTCATCACTTGTTCCTTGTTTGAGTCGGTCATCATCCTCACCCATTGGACGATGTCAACGCCATCTCCAAACTCCCCAACAGGCTTCCGTCCAGTAACCAGCTCAAGAAGCACAACACCAAAGCTGTAGACATCACTCTTCTCATCGACCTTGAGGGTGTATGCATATTCTGGACATCCACAAAAATACAATCCAACAAGGTTCAGTCCATTTGAAGTGAACAAAGACATGTCAGATTATTAAGCAACACAATTCATGAAGGAGCACGAGGAACTAAAAACAGCAATTCAAGAATTACTCTTACATTTCTTTTACCAGAGGAAATATTACTTTGCAACTAAATACAATACTATCAATACACTGCAGAACGAACTGAAATACCATGAGATATGATGTTTTACCTGGAGCAATGTATCCATAAGAGCCAGCAATGGCAGACATGCACTCAGATGCACCGGTGTCCTGCAAGAACTTTGCAAGGCCAAAGTCAGCCACATGTGCTTCAAAGTCTGAGTCAAGAAGGATATTGTTTGACTTGACATCACGGTGAAGTATCAAAGGGGAACAATCATGGTGAAGGTAGCAGAGCCCCTTTGCAGCTTCAATGGCGATCTTGTACCGGGTGTCCCAGTGAAGGTGCCCGCCTTTCTTGCCATGGAGCAGCTCCCCCAGGCTTCCATTGGGCATGTATTCATAAACCAGCAAATTAGTCTCATT